AGCACATAATTGAAGCAGCCCAACARCTCATAACCATGAAGAAGCTGAGGTCTTAATGCTAACTGCACCATGCATGTTTGTCCCAGCTCGTGGCTGCACTGCGCTGCTGCTCTCTCAGGAGCTGGCTCTGGTGCCTACAGGAGGTGAGCTAAGGTGAGTCCACTCACTAATTCAGCACAAAAGAAGTCATGCTCCATTTATTTATTTATTTATTTATTTATTTATTTATTTATTGGCCAAGATAGTCTTCTTCTGGGTTAATAAGTTGCATGTCCTCAAAGAGGGTCAGAGCCCAAGAAGAGTGAGATGAGGGCAAAGATGTGAGGGATCAAGAAATGGAACGTTGTGGTAAAAACAGATCTTTAGCCTGGCTCCTGTGTAACTGCATAAAGCCAGCTTAAATTTATTCTTTCATTAGATATGCTCTTATATTTAATAGCCTTTAATAGAGGCCCACCGAAGTACATTAATACTTTCTTCTGGGCACTTCTATGAAACTTAATGTGAGTATAAGAACAATTAATGGGAAGAGATTAGATTCAAGGACAAGAATTAAATAGGGACAAAATGAATGTCTATTTTATTTGGAATTAGTATGCATAAACATCTCAAAATGTGCAGCAGCTCAGGTGATGTAGATTAAGTACTTACACAAGTCATGATCAGAATGAGTAAATTTCACGTAATTGGCTTCAATCAGTTCTTTCATTAATGAGAAATAAATATTAAGATGAATGCCTCTTTYGAAATAATAATGAGTACTGACTAAGCAAATTATGTCTTTAGTCTCCACTATCATTTCTCAGGTTTACAGAATAAAGAAACAGGATACCATGTAAAAAGAGAGATACCTTCATATGTTCTCAATAAAAATAACTCTGTTAGGAATACCATATTCTTTTTGATTTATACAATAAATTTGATTAATACAAAAAGCTGTCAACTTTGGGACACTTTCCTTAACGTTCCATTCTGTTTCCAAAAGCATTCCCTATTTTACAACAATTATTGGAAACGTTATTTATGGAGACTTTGCTAGTGGTCTACAAAGAGATACTTGATCATGCATCAGTGAAATCCCTTTTTGTTAATGCTAATTTGCAATGAAGGAAGCTGCAAATAGGTCAAACAATTTCTTGCTACTTCTGTGCTATGTAAATATTTGCTGCCTTAGTCAAAAGACTCTAGAGGGGTGCAAAAGGAAGGAAAAGTGCTTTGTAGAAAGCAGTTAAGGTGTGATGTGCCCTATGGAAAAGTGTGATCCCATTTCCTGTCAGAAAAATCCATTCCCAGTCATCTAAGGGAGTTCTTCTTGCCTAAGGAATAGACATTTGGTCCTCCTTCCTGCATTCCTTACCACAAGAGGACATCATCATCATCATCATCATCATCATATATAGGATATTTGACCTTACCTCATTTACTTTGTACTTGTGCTGTTCTTTGCCATCTTTCTCCAGGGTGGAAAACCTTCATGTAAAAGGAATGCTGGCACCAGCTGCTCTGTCAGGACACGCACTTGTTTGGCCACTAAATTCTCAAAGGTCAGTGATTTGTTTTTTAGAGCTGTTCAATAATTAAAATAGAGGTTTAAGCAAGCATCTTTCTATTTATTGAAGTACTTTGCTGAAGCGCTCTGCACTTTGGATTTTACCACTGTTAGGTGGAAGAAAACTGTTCAAGTGGATTAGCAAGGCTTTGAGTTGCTTGTTTACTTTTATACATACATTGCACAAATGTTAGCTTTTGAATTATAGGGCTGTAGGACAGAAAGAATTATCATGCCAATATTGCGCTTCAAAAAATCAAAAGAAGTTAAAAAGCAATTTACAGTGGAAGCTGGGGGAGGCCTGACAAAGAGGCTAAAGAAATTAAAAACACTAAAATAAAAAAAAATCATTGGAAATATTAGACTACAAAAAAGAAATAACAACATTGAGTTGAAGTAAGAGAACTGAGTGTCAAGGAGCTTTTAATGATTAATTCGTGGGATACTCGCCTAGCCACTCATGCAGCAGTTGAAGCTATAATGCTACTAAATATATTATTGATGGCTAATTACAAGGAAGCCATGATTCTTAATTGTATCTTCTTCAAATTACTGCAATTGCTGGTCTCTCAGGGAAAGCAGCTCCCTCAGTGCTGATCATGAACAGTGACGGTCAAAGCAGGCGGATAAAACAGGAGTTAATGTGTTACAAGAAGTGGCCTTAATTCACCTGGCCAGTGGAAGTTCCTGAAAGTGCCGTGTCCAAGGAGATCCACACACTGCAGGGACAGGACAAGTATGATCTGTGTAACAGGCAACRTATTTTTCAGTAGTATAAAACCATTAAGAACAATTAGATCAGGATTGAGCAGGGAGTGGTTTCACCAAGGTCTTCACTGCCACCCTGTGGTAATAAAAAACATTGCAAGCTCTATGGTGTCCTGGATTGTACCTGGGATATTAGATACACTGTGCACCGAGGAAGAAAAGCACAATGYGAAGCCATGAGCTGCTTTCCTTGAAAAAACCTTCTCTAGCCAAATTAGCCTTGTTACTGTGCTAATAAGAAGATTGGGGAGGCAATGACCAACACTCCTTTTCTCTTTATCTACTAGATAGGGACCATCTGAAATGTTCTGTGGTTGTTAATCCTTTGTCTGCACTCACACCTGGARATTTGGAGTCATTAAAATGTCCCATTCCTGGCAGCTTAGTGCTCTGGTCTCAATGAGGCATCCAGAAAAGCCCCCAAGAGGCTGTGAATTTGAAAACAACCATAATCCATCCCACAGAGGCAAGGATGATATAAATCATTCATAACATCTATCTTGATGGACTCTTTTGTCTCAAGTTAGGCCAGTATGATGATTTTTTAGCAGGGAACCAAGAAAACTGTGTTGTGGGAATAGCCTTGAAGACCAACACTGGTGTCATCACAGAGGAATACCTTGGAAATAACTGCACAGGAGCAGGTCATCATTTGTTCGCAAACCACTGCATCTAAATGGAAGTGCAGATTTTTTTTTTTTTTGCTTACGTTGACAGCTGTGCTGATCACCTTTGTGAGGAGCTGAAAGGGCAGCAAAGACAAAGAGGCAGAGAAGATGTGCCCAACACTGCTAGCAGAGCAGCTTCTAGACATTTCTTCAGTCCTTTATGGGTAAGTATCTCCTCTCTGAATGTGCCTAAAACATTATAGAGTGACTCTGGAAAAACATTGCCTAGGCCTCCCATGCCAAGATGCACAATTGAAATATAAGAGGTAGCATAAACACAGGGAGGGTGAGTCAGTGTGCATCAAGTTATCACTGAAGTGCCAACAGAGTCATATCTGGGGGTGCCATGTTGAAATAAATAGTATATATGCATATGTATTTCTATGTAAGTATGTATATGCACACACAAGAGCACACACTTATTTTTTAAAAACAGAGCCTAAATATGTGAGAATATCCTGAGTTTCAACCCAATGAAGCGGAAATCAGTCCTGGCTGCACTAAACTAAACTTTGCACTGATCTAGGATTTAAAATTTGTTGTGCTGCCAGTTGGCACAGTTCTGACATGTTCTTACCATTCTCACTAGAGATTCCTTAGCTGGTCAGGAGAGAATAACTAAATTTAGAAAAATAATCAGAAATGCACTCAATACTTGTTTTCCTTACAGATAACATACTATGCTGTTTTCTATTTCTAATTTTTAATTTCAAATTTCTGATTTAATTTTGATATTGTGACATAAAAAAGGGCTGAATCCTTGTCTACGTTACGCACTGCAGACAATCATACAGGCTGAAAAATAAAACTCAACCCAACCAGTGCTGTGTGTGTCTGTGCATGAATGAAAAGCCCCACCTGCTTGAGCTTACAGCAGATCTGTTACCTGCTGCTCTTCCAGGAACACCGAGTCACAGAATCCTAGAATGGCTGAGGTTGGAAGGGACCTCTAGGGATCACCCAGTSCAACCCCCTGCTCCAGCAGGGACACCCAGAGCACGGGGCACAGGGTGGCAGCCAGGCGGCTTTGGAAGATCTCCAGAGAAGGATTCCCAAATCTCCTTTTTTGACAATAACAAGAATTWGACAATATTGAACAGTCTGCAGGATTGAGCCTGAATTTCAGAATATGGGATAAACAAGCTCACCATGGCTAGATGAATTTCAGCCTCCTTAGAAAATGCACTGATTACACCAACCTACTCCAATGTTCTCTAAATTTCTTTCAGTCATCTGATCTGCCTAAGTGTTCACAGGGCACCTGTGATATCCGAGCGCTTAAACCTTGCTCCAGCCATTGCACTTGGGAGGCCTGGGAAATTCTCACCTTTTATTTCCAAAACTGGAAATAAAGAWTGTGCAAGCCCACCTAGCCTGCCAGCATTTGAACTTTTGAACAGCATTTGAACAGCATCTTTTTTTTTTCTTTTTTTCTCAGTCAAACTTACTTCAATCTTACCTGAACATTCTCAATTCAGCTTAGAAGCAGTGACTTGACTCTCCAATCATTTGGATAAATGCTCTTAAAAACTTTTGATTTTGTTCCAAAGAAAATAAAATTCAAACCTCCTTACTTAAAACACAGAACTTAAATCACCATCCGCAGGTTAGCAATATTTTTATTAATACAAGAAATTGCATGTACATTTCTTCGCTAGGGGTCCTGGAGGAACTGCCTGCCAGGAAGGAGACAAGCACAATGATGACAGATGTGCCTGGGACACTAACAAGGGTGATTTTTGCCTGAATGATGGATGAAGAGTTCAACCCCTGAATCAGGTTAAGTGGTTTGTTAAAATGAGTGAGTGCTGGGAAGCTGTTATTGAATTAAAAAAAAAAAAAAAAAGCAAAAAAGGGTTTTTTTGCTTCAAAATAATAAATATGTCATTAGATATACTTTTGCCTCACAGAAGAGGTTTTGTGGACATTAATAAAAAAAATTTAAACTGCACAATAAAATTTTACAAAACACAGCTGAAGAACTCCAGCTTTGTATATTATTTAATTAAAGCATGTACAGTAAAAGTAATGGGAAGGTAAGTTTGAACGTATGTCCAGAAAATAGATTCATTTGACAAACGATGCTCCACRAGTAAATAAACCTTGTAATGCAATTCAGAACAAATGCACGTCAGGTTACTGCAGTCCTGTACAGGTACATCAGCTGTCAACAGCCAATTCATCTGCTCCGTAGCCGTAGCACTCGATTCACGACGTGTGTAACAGCTCACAGATGGTAGATGCACAAAGCAACGCACGCRAGATAAAATGTTACAAAACACTAGTCCAAATAAAATATACATGCAGGTCGTCCCTAGTATTTACAGCAAATAGTTTTAAATTAGAGCACATTCAGGAGGCATCTCCTACATACAAATGCCACAAGTTTAAGAAAAACAAAAAAAAAAGGAGAAAGGCAGTCAAAGAAAGGTATTGTACTAGTTATGGCTAAAGACCTTTGGCTCCAAAACTCTGTAATGGTTCTTTTGAAAGGACAACTAAAATGTGGAACATTCGAGTAGTCTCTCTTTGAACTCCTGACCACTAAAACTCAATGTGAAATTTAGCATGGCAAGAGCCACTTGTAAAACAATCTTATTATTTCGTACATCAAATGCTCTGAGTTCGATGCAATTATGGTTTGGCAGTATCCTAACCCAGTAGGAACACATTTGAGGCCAACTCTGTTTTACTGCATCCCATGCTTGAAGTCTGAGGTTATCTACTCAGCAGGCCCTCAGGAAGGCTCTGGCTGTGCGGTATCTACATGAGGCACAGCTGTGCTTAGGAGTTGCCTACATCAGTTGACAGTTAATAGCAACTTAAAGCTTGTGAGAATAAGAGGAAAAGGAKGGCTGTGAGCATTAACACTTTTCTGTTGATATGCAAATTTTGTCATCAGAAGTAGGATGAAGACTTTCGAGTTTTGGTCAAGAGAGCAGTTGCTTAACACAAATCTTTATGTTTTATTTGCAGCTGTTTTGTCCACAGACTTTAAAATTAAGTTGAAGCTCCCAGTATTTTCTTTAATTTTTGGTTAATGGAATTGAGTATTTTCATTTAGCTAGAATTTGTTCAAAAGTTTATGGTGTTGTCTAAATGTGTCCTGTTGGTTTATTTTCTCAGTCTTCCCTACATAGCCAGCACATTCACTGAAAATGCACATTGTATTGGTCTCTTCTTAACCTGTTGCAAAATCAGATTGCAAATAAAGACACTGTGGTATTATAAACAACCACATCTACATRTAGGATATTGTATGTAAAACTTTCCTGAGTAATCTGCACAATGAAACACTTGCTTTTCATCTCTCTGAAATTAAGCTCTCTTCAGAAGAAACCAAATCCATCCAAAACCACATGCAAACATTTATGCTCATTTTTAGGGCTAAGGCACCGGGACTACTATATGGAAAGAGCCTTTGTGGGCACTGACGTGTTAGCAGATGCATCCCAAAATCTGTGTTTTCTCCAAGAATCCCACAGGACCCAGCCCTGAAATGGAGAAGGTTTTATCAAAGACAAGTGTGGGTCTCATCGTGTCTTCAGGCTCACTGAGTGGGGCAGGGAAACGTGACCAGCTGGGAAAGCTGCTGGGTGGGCACCACAACGTCAGACCTTTTAAAAAGATCTGGAACAAATCTTTCAAAAATGTGACGATGAGAAATTCCCCACTTCCATGGTATGTGCACCGCTTTGGTTTACAGGCCTGAACATGGCAAGTACCCAGAAAAATGGGTATGTAAGAAACACTTATAAAAAGGGTTGCTYATCTAAGAGGAAGAATGCGCATCCCTGCCTTCATTTGGAAGTCCATTCATGGTGTTTAATTGAACATTGAGAATTATCTTTCAAAAATTCTGAAGCAAGATGGCTTGTTTTAAACATCAAAAGGAGCACACAACCCAGCCAGCCGTTTCACTTTCCTGCGTACTTTCTTTGAACTGAGTTAGTGGAAATGTAAATGTATGTTGCAGTTCTTAACTGTTCCAGGTCATCTTCCACCACGACAGAGAAGCACACGCCAATGAGTTCACAGTGAGCAACGCAACTGAGCATCACCAGACCTCGCATCGTTGCTGAGCTAGCTATATACACAAGGCATTTGAAATGTACATCGTCAGGTGTCATTAAAACTACAAACCCAACTTTGCAGGAGTTGCCACTGAGCTATCAAACCACAAAATCATCAGATTAATGGGTCCACAACACTGATGATAAATAAAAATGCAGAGGTAACAACAGTAGTAGAAACAAATACATGTTTAAAATAAGGCTTTTTGTTTTGTTTTTCAACATTGTTAGTAAGATGCTTGGCCTGTAGCCCCTTTTTGTTCTTCATATATTACATATTCATGACAAAGCTGATTGTGTCCATTGTCAAAGAATACTCTTGGGTCTATCGTTATCATCAGATAATGCCCCTAATCAGCAGCATATGATAAAACATTTGAAAGACATTAATAACAAATCAGTTTTGAAATATGGAGTCCTTCTTTCCTTCCATATTGACATGAGTCTTGCCATCTTTAATGAGAATTATCAATCAGAAATGATCAGTGTTGCGTMAATCAAGATCCTCTTTCCTCCTGGTGGCTTTTTAACAGTTATTCTCCCAAATCAACTTCATGTTATAGGCAAATTAYGGCAAATTAGGTATTGCAGACGCTGGCCAGAGATGACCTTAGTCAAGACAGGTCYTTCCCCTTCCAGTACAGAATGACGGTCTTACACAAAAATCCATTTCTGATCCACACGATTTCTCTGTCCATTCCAGTATGGATTTCTCTTTGTTTGTGAGGAAACCACTGGTCAAACCCCCTTGTCAAGTGACAGTGTGCAAGAAGCACAGATTGAAACCGCTCCAGGAACTCAGTGGAGATTTGCAGTACCATTCATCCATGTTTAAGGGAAGCTGTACGAGGAGGAAGGACACAGAGCGAGAACTATGTAACACAGACTGTAGTGCCAGCAGCTGCTCATACTTCCTCACCTCTAACTTTGTACATTCACATTATGTCCATTAAAAAAAAAAATACTTTTTACACTGAGAAATAAGCATATCAGAAGTATAAAGAAGCATCTCCCAGGCTAAGAAGTGCACAGAAAATGATATAAAAGCTCTATACTGACGGGCGTCCATGCATGCTGGATATTGCTCGGACTGAAAGTAACTCGAGATGCCGTGGGCTCCTCTTGTTTTAACTGGTATGCAATAAATGCACAGATCTGTAGAGTCCGTTCTGCACTCTGTTCATGATTCTATATGACAGAACAAAATTTCCCTGTTCCAATCTGGAATATGATAAGGCCTTGCGGGACTTTCTCCTGCCATTTGGCAACTTAATAGAAAAAGACAGGAGGGATTAAGGTCCATCAAATTCTGCGACAGTACTGCAATGGTATGGGATCGCCCCACCTGATTTGAATGAGCAGTCCCTGCTCAGTGCTCCAAAAGGAAGGAGAAGACTCCCCTAAGATTCCCTGCTGATACACCTTTAGGGAAAAATTCCTCCCTAACCTAAATTTGGCCATTTTATAAGATCAAGAAAAATGAAATGTTACAACGACCTGAATAATTCCATCATTATTTGAAGACAACTAGGAAATAGAGATGAAACACTGCTGCTTTCCATCAACAGCAGCTTGTCTCTGTCAGAAGGGCCTCTGCTCTTCATCAGCAATGCTCACGTTGCCGCCAACATCGCTTCCAAACAGTGGTGAAGAACCTCACTCTTCTTCCAGACAAAGGTGGTATTTCTGGCTCAAGGGAGCCTAATTTGTTCCCCTCCAAACCTGAGGATTCGCTGAGCTCATATAAGCTTAACCACATCTCCAAGGTCTTCTCTGGAATAACTCTCCCCCCGTGCTGGTGTCCTTGGCCTCTCACTTCTTGAAGGGGGTGAGCTTGTTGAAGGTGTGCCAGAAGAGGGAYGGCTTCCGCTTGGGCTCTGCCAGGGCAAAAACCTGCTGCTGCGGGATGCTGGTGGGCACCGTGATGTGGCGCTGGTGGATGGGATGCAGGCTTTGGTGGGGAGGAGGCATCGGGCACCCGTTATAGCTCACACCTGCGGGAGGAACAGGTCAGAGGCCACTATGAGACACCTGGCCAAGTAACCGACACGGGGGAAAAATAATCACAACAACAGGGGACAAATCCAATGGTCTCTCGTATGAGGAGAGACTGAGTTGGGCCTGTTCAGCTTGGAGAAGAGAAGGCTGAGAGGGGATCTGATTAACATGTATAAGTTCAGGAAGGGAGAATGTAGGGAGCAAGGGGCTGAGCTCTTCTCAGTGGTGGCCAGTGATAGGACAAGAGGCAATGGTTATAAGTTGAAAGCCAGGCGGTTCCATCTCCATGYGAGGAGGAACTTCTTTCCTGTGAGGGTGCCAGAGCCCTGGCACAGGCTGCCCAGGGAGGCTGTGGAGTCTCCTTCTCTGGAGATCTTCCAAACCYGCCTGGCTGCCACCCTGTGCCCCGTGCTCTGGGTGTCCCTGCTGGAGCAGGGGGTTGCACTGGATGATCTCTAGRGGTCCCTYCCAACCTCAACCAGCCTGTGAKTCTGTGATTCTGTCAGTAAAATCAGTGCAAAAAATCTTGAATGGAAGCAGTACCAGATGTTACCCTTTCTATTTTCAGACTTTTTTTTTTAATTGTTGCTTGAAGCTGGCTTGAAGAGAGGATTCTACCAGTGCAAATTACATTATGGAACTATCAAAAAGATAAGTAGCTGTTTCGTGAAGCCTGGCAATATTGTTTGTACAAGTTAATTGAGTTAGTTCAAATGAAAAACACTGAAAATATATGCTGCCATTGTAGTCAAATCTTGGGTAAGCCTGGGCAAGATATTACTAATAATAAAAAATGCATTTCTTCAATTTGGAGAGTACTTTTCCAGCATAATGTTCTCAGACTTTGGCCTTTGCACATTCTGAACATAAACTCCACATCTCTATTTCCAGACACTGCTCAATAATTCAGACAGATTCATAATGCACTATTATTTTCTTGGCATTTAGTGACTGATAAAGATGCTTTAATAACATTGAAACAGAARCAGAAGACTACCTAATACCAAGTTTTTTTTTTTTTTCCTCTAAAGTTTCTCATAAGTTTCTCAATTTATTCACTCAATACACTAGACATCCAGGCAAAATTGAATTTAAACTGAAAAGGACAAAATCATGACATTTTCTAAGACGGAAAAGGAATAAAAAGCTTTTTTTCTCCCCATTTTTCTCTAGTCATTTTTTCTCTTAACATTTCTATGCATGTTAAGCAACTTGGAAGGAGGATAAAAACAAAGTCATCTAGAGTGTGCTATTATCAATGTGGCTCCCAGAAGGACCTCTACAGTACGCTAAAGAAGAGCAAAACGTCAAACTAAGAGCAATGGAAGGAAACAGTAACTCTAATTTCTAATTTAAAGTTTGCATACACTTCCTTATATCCTTAAATAAACCACTTATCCTATCTGTTAATTTTCTTCTCTGATAAAGGGAAAATATTCACTTGCCTACTTGAAGGAGACTGGGAAGCCAACTCAGTGGATGGATTATGAAGGAATTTGAAATTGAAATATAGGCTAGGGGAGATATTTGAATCTATAGATCTATTGATCTATTTAAACCAATGAAAATTTTTAAAAAGATAAAAAGACTCAACCATGGTCAGACTGTATTGCTTCCTAATATAAGAGAGGGTAGAGTGCATTAAGAATGTAAAACAGTTCTTAAATACTCACCTTTAATTTTTCCATGCCTTGATTTTCGGGCATTCTGCATGGCTTGTTTCTTCTGATTTTCTGAGATTTCCATTCCTATGTCAAAGAGAAAATAAGGGCACTGGAATAAAAAATACTGTATCCATTATTTGATTACATTAAACTAGTAAGTAAATTATTTAACCAATTTTAAGAAAAYCTTAATAGCAATGTACTTTCACTTTTCAAAAGCATGTTTTGCTTTGTCAAATAATTTTAAATATTCAAACTTTTTCAYGGTGGTAACAGTAGAAACATTAATTCGCCAGCAGATTAGTGGGAAAAGTTGTTTTCCTATTCCAACAAATGGTGATCAGTGGGGAGCTAACTAGTGAAAATATTATTTTTATAGATAAATGCAGATAAACAGAAAAAGAAAAAAGAAAATTAACACTTCTAGAAGTTACATGCCACCAAGTAGTGGGAAAAAAAATGCAGAATCTTTTCATTTACTCTGATCTAACTTGTATTAACAAACTGAAGTCACTGGCACAGCAGTAGTGCAGATTTGGTACAAAARAAAACTAGCCTCTTGATATCTTCATGTTTGAAATACCCAACCTTGTTGCAACCTTCATCTTGCTCCAAAAGAGGAAACTTCCTATTTTCCTTCCACATTTTCATTGCTTAGACTCTCTGTGTTTAAAGAGTTCATGTGCACAGCACATGTGATTTGGGGATGTGCTGGGAGAAGCAGCAGACAGGGCAGCCCAGAAATTGCTGTGCAAAGTCATAAGAACAAATGGTTGACATCCGTTTTGCATTTTCCTCCACTTATCTAAATTCTTTATCAAAATTCTGTTTACTTTTTTTTTTTAGCCTGTACTTATCAAGAAGATATTACAAATCAGCAAAATCATATAATACAACAGTATTTAGCTATAATTTCRGAGGTTGTAAAAGTTGATTTTCTTTTATTCTGCAATTTTTTTCTTCATAGGAATAAGCACATAGCCAAAAAAAAAGAAGAAGAAAAGGAAAGAGCAATTTAATCAACAAAGTTCAGACCATTTTCTAAGGCTTACCATTAGTGGTTTTGGAGTGATTTTTTAGCTATGGCCTTTTTTCACACACATTCATAGAAGCTAAGAAAAACTTGATATGGTTTGGGAGACAATGGCCTGCACCAAAACATCTTGGAAAACAGAAGTAAAAAGCTATTTGCAGTTCTGAGTTTTGAAGAGCTGTTCTTTGATGGTTAGAGGTTTCCTGTGAATTCCAGCAAGATCGCTTACAGAACCAGCGAGATAAATTTAAACCTGAGGTTGAGAATCCTGGCACCTCCCCCCTGGTTTTGGCTAACAGAAATGTTCAGCTGTGCCAAAAAAACGAAATCTGGGTCTGCTGGGTAATGGGGAGATATCCAAGTCACTCCCTGGGTCTTGCATGGCAGCCATTTGCTATTACAACTTAATTAATCTTTCCTCTGGTTGAAGATACTGATGCGAGAAACCCTAAATCTGAATAATCAGTTGTAACACTTGAAAAGCAGCAGTTTCCACAAAGCTAGATTTTACACAGGCTTTTGGGGACACAAACAGCTGCATGTGCATACGTGACATTATAAGAAATACACTTTGTCAGCATACCGTGATTTTCTCCCTTATGTCACAAACTGCCTTAGGAACAGAAAGCACTGCTGACCTCCCTCACAATCTTTGCACTCATCACCATGGAAATTGGTGACCTAGCCTTAAATAAGGGCTAGTTACTGATCTCCCTCTCCCTGTAAAATAGTTATATTTAGGGCTGTAGCTATTGCACCTTTGTAGCTTCCTCATACCTGGTGCCGGGGGCTTTCTAGTGCAGAACCACCTGCAAGGAATGGCAGGTAACACAGCACTGCCTGTACCTGGCAGAGYTGTCGCTGCGTGAGCAGGCAGCCCAGCACAGGGCACCCAACTCTCCAGTGCTCTAGAGAGGAGCTGTGGCAGAAGAAGGTGTAGAGCAAGAGCTGTAGAGCTCAGGAGAGCTGCTCGGAAGGGGTGAGTTGTTGAAGTGTTGTTGAAGTTGTTGAAGTGCAAATGGTTGCACTTCATCTTCTTCTGCTCAGCCCCATTCCAAAAAAAAGTGCATATTCATTATCTGAAAGATTGGCGTGGACCACAGAGCTGAGGAGATGGGAGAGGAGGAACAGGACAAAGGAGGAACGTTGTACTTTGTGCAACCAGAGTCTCCTGCCCTTCAGTGTAACAGACCCACTATTCTCCACTGGAGCTAAGGCTCTTAGCAGCCTTCTCATGACAAGTGAGATAGCTGGACACTCACCACTGGATCCTGTGAAATAAAACACTTTATTGCTTTCCAAACACCAGCACCCTTTTGCAGCAGCCACTTTTTAGAGCTCTGTCTAGGCTAACGGGGGAAGGCAGCCAACATGCACTGCCCTGAGCACAGGCTGTGCACCGAGCACCCAGGAAAAGCCACCAGGCTTGGGCCCCGCCAGCTCCTACTGTCACACAGGCATGTCCTGCGCTGGTTTAAAAAGTCTGGGGAAAGTTTAAGTGTGGCTGCTTCACTGTTTACTCTGGACACAAGATCACTGGGATTAACTGAAGCATTTGGTGCAATGGGGAAGGGTTTCAGACTGGTTTTGTAACATGAATTGGTATAATGTGGAAGTATTATTAGTTTTGGAGTTTTGAATGATGGCTTGATCATAATGTTTATATTTCTTTCAGTTCATAAGGATAACTTCAGGGCCAGGAACTAATAATGCCCAGCAAGACACAAAATAACAGCCTGCCGACTACAATGTATTTGGAGGAGGCCTTATTTTTGTCATATTTACAACAGCATCAGAAAAGAGGAAGCCACTAAAATCAGTAGTTGCTGCCTAAGGGTTATTCCTGCCTTCTTCTTTCTTATGAAYAGATGTTTTGAGTAAACAGGGAATGTGAGATTGCCAGCTTTTAAAAATAYTAATAATTTCTGAGTTATGTCATCCAGTTCAGAGCACTAAAGATTTTAACTTGCTGCCACCTAAAGCCTGAAGAGTGTTACTAATGAATTCTGCTATTCTCTTCCTCATGAAGGTAATGTTATAAAAAGGAGAAGTTCTTGTGCTGTCAGCACACAGACATGCACACAGACTTGCCTTACTGCTTTAGAAAAGTAAAAAATAGTTTCCATTATTACTTTTACTATTATTGTTGTTGTTRTTATTATTATCATGTGTTTTCCCAGCGAAATTTTGTTTTACTAGGAAATTGACCATATTAAAAGGAAACCTTTGAGAGGAAAACTTTGCACTCACCCATTTCTTTGTCTTCCTGAACTCTCCTCCTCTCATTTTCACATGCCTCCATCCATCTCTTCTTATCCTCCTGTTTTTTCGCACAGAACAAATGAATCTCATCTGTTGCTCTGTTTATAATCTTAAAAGCATTCTTAACATTAATGTTGAAGTCTTTGTCTTTGCCATCTTCTGCGTCCACAAGTTCCATCTCATCCATGTCCATTCGATCTTTGTAATACARGATGTCCCTTCTCAGCAGGTCCTTCTTACAGAACACAAGCTGATGGTCAAAAAGGAAGAAAGTCCTCTGCTGGCTTTTGCCTTGCTTTGAAATTTTAGTCAGTTCTCCTGAATGGATCAGTTCTGAGCTTCTGGCTAGCACATCTGGTCCCTAGAAAAAAATACATATTTTTATATAATAATACATAAATAATATTTTAGGATCTTACCATTCTCACTTTACTAATTAGTCTTATGTTCATTCAATTTTCTTATATTATTACGGTGAGATTTGAAAGTGTCTTAGGGAGATAATCTCGCCCAGACAAACTCAGTGAGCATGTTTCTGTTCTTTATMTCTGCATAAATCAACATGAAACTCTAATTAGAAAGTCGGTGATGCACGTTCAAGTTCTGATAAAACTGCGAGGAGTCAAAACAAGAGTCTACAGATRTAAGATAAGAAAGTCCATTTTCTACATGCCCATGTTATCTCAAGTGCATGTGCACATATAATAGCTGCTCTTCCCGAGTACAGGACGAGGTAATCAGTAACACACTCACTGCAAAGGAGGCAACTGGACTTTTAACTGAGCAATGACCAGCTGAAATGTGGGCACTCTGAACACCCTGCACAGCCAGGCACATCCCCCAGAGGACAGGAGGTACCGGACACAGGACCTTTGCCCACCAAGGGGACAGGTGACACTTACCTCCCAGTCCACGATAGACACTTGCCAACGGGCAATCTTGTCTATGCTTTCCAGTCTTCGCTTTCGCTCGTTGATCAGGCAAGCTACGTTCTTCATGGCCTCATAAGCAGCTTTAATGTCGTTATAATCACTGTGAACATGACAGACACATGTCAAACATCACTTATGCAGTGGATATGACACAAGTAACTGAGAGAATATTTGCCTCTAGTACCCAGTGATGCCTCCTCTCAGAGCTGATTCTCAGCTATCTTGAAGCACATACAGTAGTCTGCACAATTCAGGGCTGCTATACTGCTACGCTTTGTAGATTTATTAATGGAAACACTGGTCCTTCAGAAAGCAGTGGTAAACCTCTCACCGACCTCACTGACACATGCATTTCACCAAAGGAGTTTGTTTGCAGGGAAAATTTCAGAGGAAATTTACTGGAAAGGTCATCGCTGGATTTGTGTTTTACATCTGTATTTTCTCTGTCCCCAAGACCAAGTTGATGAATGTGAACAGAGAACAGGGAAGGAAACAGACTTATTTCTGGCCTCAAGAGTCCCAGCAGAGCAGCCCCCTCCTTTATCAGGAATGGAGCCTGAGAGAAAATAGAATCAGCTAGAAATAAATCCTGTGCGAGGGTCAGCCTCACTGGCCTTTTTATCTACTCCTGTCTCAGCTCCTATTTTCATCTGCTGCTGMTGATGGATGCACTTCCCTTCTCGCCTGCGTGTGACTCTCTTTTTATTTATATCTCTGGAAACTCTTTTCTTTTTACTTGATACAAAAAGTGAGATTAACAATAAGAGGATCCTCCTGATGTCAGGGAGATGTCCCACGGAGCGACCGCGTGATACTAACATGGTCACTCTTGCCCTTCCTTATCTCAGTTCCTTCTTTACTGGTGYGAGCCTAAGCCCTCACTTGTTGCATGACCCATGGCCTTCACGGYGGGCAGTGCACGTTGAGTCTTTAATCACTGTATGAAAACACAAGATATCCACTCTAAAGCTCCAAAACAAGCTGCCTGGAGCTCCACCAAGGCTCTGTGCGAGCGTGGGCATGTGTGCTTGTGGGCAGCCACGTGCACTGAGAACATGCCTGTTTTTGAAGGTATCTCCACGCATAGTGCCACCAAAGAGAGAAACAAGCACAAGAGGGAGAAGATGGTCACACCGTGCTGTCCCTCTACCTACAGTCTTCGCAGCTTGCTGAATAATCTTCCTAAATCAGTGAGTAACAACCACTGATGTTAGTACTTGCTGCTGGACCTTGCCAGCTGCACAGCTGATGGGAAGCATTATGCTCTTGACCACCACTATTTCATGCCACCTCAACCACAGCCCCTAGCAAAAAATCCCCACTGTTACCAAGGGGAGCTTTCTCAGGATTAAAAAAGTGCAGACTTTGGACCATGAAACTTTGAAACTTTGCTCCAGGTGGTCTCTGCACCTTGAACATGGTTGGGGTCACAGTGGAACGTTTTCCTTGCAGTTGTGCAAGGTAAAAGGTGACCACTCAAAGATAAAATCTTAATTTATTCAAAGGGTGAATTAGCCCACGGGTATATTCGAAAGGCTAAGAAGCTGTAAGTTCAGTGGAGCATTTCATTTTTATCCCAGCTGAAAATCTGGGCTTTGTTGTAAAAAAGTATTTTGGAGCAAAAGAAGTTTCCCTTTATCTTCCAGCTTTCTATCAGACACAAAACAAAAACATATTTTCATAATAAAACCGGTCACTTGAATTTCAGCTCCGGTTCAGATGGTTCTGGGTTGTTTTTACAATTACATGGAGTGGAAGTCATTAGTTTCTTAAATTAGCAAAAAGTCCTGTCCAAATCAAATTCTGCATTTTAGATGTTATGGTAATAATGTCTCACACACACTCAGAATAATGTTTTCCTGGTCTATGCTGTTTTCTGGCCTATGGTAATGCTTACCTGATTTTTAATACCTGAAAACAGTATATGTGCTATATAGATTAATTTCATAAACAGAAGTCAGTGTACTAATCAGTTAAAAGGAAGATTTTTTAAATCAATAATTTGTCTTTACTGAGAAGCACTTTCATAATTTACAATCAGTGATAAAGACTCAACTTAGAGATAAAAGGGAACGTTGTGCTTTGTCCTAGTGGGATGAACAATTCTGAGGAGCTGGGATCTTTATATGAAGTAGACAAATGAAAGAGGTCTGCAAGGAGAAGATAACAAGGATTCTCATGGCAAATTTTTGTGCTGATCCTCAAGAAATGATAGAGTGGAACGGAAGGGGAAGAGATCTCCAAACAATCCAGTATATGGATGCCTGTCTATATGGATCACAACCAGAGTCAAGGTCAGACGATCCCCAACTATTCTGTATTTTGGCAAGTGGGGGTGAGTATTTCTCATGAAGTCACTGGGAGTTTTGCCGGATGATGTCTCTATTGTTAGAGGCATTTTTCATTAGAAGTAGATATAAATACCCTGATATCTGAACAGTTTGCTAATGTTTTATTACGAAATTTATTTTAAGTTACTTTCTCTCTCCTTTTATTGAGCTCTCTTAGTTATCTCCCCTCTTCATTCTCCCTGTGTTCCCATGTTTCGAACTATATCTTTTAAGTGGGCTTCCTGCAACATTTTTCTTTCTCCTGCAGTTTTTATTGCTTTCAAATTTCAAAACATAAGTTACAAACTCACTCAGATTGTGTTTTGGCTCTAAGACCCTCTTCACCTTTTCTTGTGTCCGCAAGATCATGCAGCCTCTCCCTTTCTTCTGTATATKCCCTTCTTCAATCCTTCCTTTCCCCCCACCCCACCACCCTTCTGTTTATTCCTCAGTCTCTGGCACCTTGCCAGTTCCCCTGTGCTACACTTCAGATATTATTTTTGTTATTACTTTGATGGTTCCAAGAGGCAGATTTGCTCTATAGGAGTGAGGTTGAGTTTTGTTCCCCATCTGAAAAGACTCCGTGTGGYTCTGGGTTGCCTATTTCTGTCTGAAATGTCAGGTAATGAGGTGTTATTACAGTTCAGGATGGATGTTTTGAATCCTCTCACCTGTGCTCCGGCGTGGTGTACTTGAGCAGCTCGGCAAGCTGCAGAGGGTATTTGCAGATCTTCTGGACAGGCGTGAGAAGGAAGCCATCAATGGCAATGTCAATCATCTGCTGCAGCAAGCGACAGGCCTCAAAGAAGTGACGGTATTTGCCTTGTTTCATTAGCTTGGAGAGCTCAATGCAGGCACTGGGATGATTGTTGCAATACTCTGAATAAATAGCAAAGCCTTCTTGCTACAAAAAAGAAAAAAAGTCACAGTTTTACCTAATTTGCCTATAAAGATTGATGGATGTTTTGTAACTTTTATTTTATGCAATAATATTAATTCATTTCCTAAATTGTTTCCAAAATGAAGAAAAAATCACCTTTACCACTACATAATAATCTGCTTTGCAGTCGTTAAAACTATGGACCTTCTTTGTATGAGCACGAAAATGGAGGCTCCAGTTGATGGCTATGGCTTCAATAAGTGTCTTTAATGGACTTACAGAGCCTTTCCCTTGCACTTCCTTTCCCTGTTCTGTTCTCTTCTTTTTACGCCATTTTTGCATGCCTATTGAAACAATTTGAGAGCACTGGACATGGTCCAGCTCATCTGTGATTACTTCTGAAAAAGCAACTTGAATGTGTACAGAGACACATTCTTACTAAGGAAAGAGGAGAAATCCAAAACATTTAAGTAATTCTTTAACTGTAAACACTCTAAATTCCAAAATACTCTCTATGCATAGTTTAGTATTTGATAAGTTAGTAAAATCATCTCCTTATCTGGTAACTTGGATTTTTCTTATCGTATTTTGTTCACATCATAAACAAAATGAATTTTTGCGACATACGTGTTGAAGAAAGCACGATCCTATTTCACTTAGATGAGGTTCCTCCTTGTTGTACTGCTTCTCGAGGTCTTTCAGGAACTTCCTCTGGAATTTGTAGATATCTTCAATGTTCCCAAAAATGGTGCTTAGCTGCGCCGCGGTGAACATTCCTGTATGTTTGCGACACTGCCGAATATAACCCTGGAAATGAAGCGAGAGCACCTCCTTTTTTATCAGCTCTGAGGATGCACACGTGGGTCCTGCTCCGAACAAGCCCCTTTGGCTTGGCAGGAGTTGGGGCCCGTGGTCTCACGGCAGGACTCTGGTTCCAGAATGAGCGATTTCGGGTTCAAATGTTACACGACAGTTTTTGCTAATGGCACCTCTGTTCCACAGTATGGCTCAGAGAACCTCAGACYTCAAAATATATCAAGCTCCTTGGTTTCTTCCTGCTGTGGAGCCAGGGGAGGCCTGGCATGAGCCCCATGTGCAGCACTAGTTCAGCTGCTGCGCTTCGCTTTCTAATTCACTTGTGCTCTAACATTTTTTCCTTATGTTAGAACAAATCCTAAGCAGGTAACATAAAAACAGCCCTGTCAAAGCTAATGCACTGATTCGTTGCTGATTTGTAAGCAGGGCCCAGAAGAAACACAATTAAGAGCATGCTACAACACATGCAGCTTGCTACTGCTGGGTAAAAATCTTATCGCACTCCCAGGAGTTAATACTGGCAAGAATGCATGGAAAAAAGTGATCAGATTCTCCACTCCTTTCGCTCTACTTGTAAGGACACCACACAGGTCCGGCTCATTTCATTTGCATCCAACCTGCAGGAGCTACCTGGCCAAGTGCTCCAGTTTTAAACAGCCTCGGGCAAATCCTGCTCTGCATTCAGAACTCCACATTAGATCGAATCAGCATTCACACAGCTATGGGTATAAGGAAGGAAGGGGCTCTAAGGGGCTCAGGTCCTCGGTGGCAGCCACCACATGCAGCCCCGAGTCCTTAATCCCTGTGGCTGGAGCCAAGGGTGGAGCTGCAGGAGCTGCAGGCTGAGGAACATCAGCTCTGCTCTTGTCCTCGTGTAGCAGCTGGTGCAAAAGCTKCTGCAAAGGCTGGTGCAAAGGTTAACTGCTGCACCAGGTTCCCTGCCAGGCTCCTCCATGGGGCAGCTCTCAGATAAGCTTCTCCCACAGCCCTTCGGGTGCAGATTGCAGGAAAGAACAGCCTGTCTTCTCCACAAGCGTCTGCTTCGAGTGCTGTGGGGCCACCACATTGTACATAAGCTAACTAGCAAGTTCACTGCCATTTAGGAKCAAGAAACCAACATGGAAAATGATCTATGCAGCTCCTGTATATGTGGGCTGCARGTAATTTTTTGACCTTCAAATCTTTTTCTGGGTGTACTTGCAGTTTTATGATCCTGATGGCACCAGCCCTAGTGATTCATTCTGGTGCAGAGCTTGCAAATTTGCATGAGCATCTGGAGTAACTTTTCTGACTCAGTCTTTCTTCAGTGTATTTTCAGCCTTCCATCCTGCCTGCACCACCCTACTGATTCACTCTGAGCAAAGCAGACCCTCCGAGCAAAGCAGACCCATGATGAAAGTCATGTCCTAGGACCCAGATAACCATGAGGGAGACACATCTGTATGCACAAATTCCTCTGTGATCTTTCAGATATTCACGAAAACTTATTCTAAACTTACTGTAGCAGAAGAGAGCATCTAGACGACACAATTCACCTTTACTTTTTTTAAGGAATAGTCCACAAATTAACAAGAAATTTTGTCCTTCAATTTGTTTTCCTTTCCTTCCCTTCAAGATCACTTAGAAAAGCTCTGATCTTAAAAAAAAATGTCCTCTGATATTAGAAGTTCACCTCTGGTCTACCTTGCTTTCCATTAAAAAAGCTTATAATGAGTAGTGGACAAAAGATGACAACATCAAAAACATCCTCAGCAAACTAAAGGTAGAAAGAGTATTTTGACAGGTTACTTAGCAGCCTTCCTTGGACTTTTATTAATCACAAGGGCAGCCTTAGGACAGGCCAGCTGCATCACGGTCCCTTTCAGAAGCAGCGAACTTCAGAGAACGTTTTAAGAAGCTTTCAGGTCTAGGGTGCTCCTCCAAAATAACTGAGCAAAGAACAGAAGAAAAACACCATGTTCTTCATATTCGATAGTTCAAACAAGGAAAGGGATTAAAGATTTCTTCATAGCTACTAAGCACCCAGAAAAAAATCCCTAGCCCCAAAATTCTCCTTCCAGGTTACTTTCCAAATGTTTTATCTCTGAAGTGTAATAGAATCGAGTAAACGTACTGACAAATTTCTATCAAAACCAAGTGGTAAAACGTACTAAATAAATTGGACTTCCTCTGTCTTCAGGCTATGGAAATAGTGGTCAGACAAGCAAAGCACTTTTTCCAAGTCAGAAGTGGGATGTTTTTTAAAAAAGCAAGTGATGCCTTGGGTCAATCTACAGAGAAAGGAGTCAGAACAGCACACAGGATGGTTCTCACTGGAAGTCTCACATGTGGAATTGGGGTATTTTGATAAGAGAAACCACTTTGGCTCTCAACTGATACGGGAAGTTTTGYTTCCCATTAAGTCAGTAGACTGCCCCCAGATTAAAGCACATACCTCACAAATGTCCTTGAGATGTTTGATATAGACTCGTTCTGTGTTCATAATTTCCTGTATGACATTGGTCCTCATCTGATCCTTGTTTTCTGCCATCTTCTGGCGATGCTTGCTCATGTCTGCATCTTGTTCTTCATTCTGGATGCTACCACAGTTTTCTGGCAGTTCTTCCTGGTTAACTCGCAGCTGTGGCCAGAACAAACAGGGCAAGCTAGAKCAGATCACCAAGCAGTCACAGAACATGACAGTGCTGAGGTAAACCTCTCATAGGACATGCTAGAGATATGTTCCAACTCCTACTTTATCGAGAGGGGTCCACAACAAGATTAATCTCATTGACCTTTGCTATTCCAAWAAAGTCTTGAGATTTCTGTCTAGCTGATCAAAACATGGCTTTCTACTGACAGCATCTCACAGACACCATGTTGTGCTTCCTGTATATTTGCAGATCTATGCTTATTTCTCACCCTAACTTGTAGTTTTGTGCAAGTCAGCTTACAGGCAAAAATTTCCATGGTGCCAAGTCACTCAGATACTTTTAAGTATTTTCCCTCTGCCCCAGATTCCTATCTGTACAACAGAAAATCCTTTTCCCRTTTTTGTCTGATTGCCAATTTTGTTTGGAAATTTATGCAGGATAAGGGCAGGAACCACCTCTGGAATTTTGTACAGTACTTAATACAGCAAAGCCCAAGTTTCATTAGGATCTCAAAAAGTACTTTAAGTTAAATTACAAAATACAGTTTAATTTTAGGACCCTCAAGCGTTATATTGTCATGATAATCTGACTGAGGTTTCACTAAGGAGTTCACTGTGAACCAGACTCCGACATAAAGTTGAGATAATAAGTTAAACATTATTTTACAAAGAAAACTCTGAAATGTAAGAACAGAATAGCATGCAGCACAGCTTTCCCTACTCTCCTATGAAAGCTGTTATATCTCTTCTATGTACATCGATTTTCCTTGTTTGAGTTTTCTTCTACCCTCATTTCTCATGAAATCCCTTTGGTTACAAAAGGACKACACAAAGAAAGAAGTAAGATTAAAATGTGACAGAGGAGCTTGGGCTCTGATGCTTTACTCTTTTTTCTCCTGTGAAGCCATCAGGAGCACTGATACTCAGATGCAAAGATCACAGGATCAGGCCCTTCATTAGAGTGAAATGCCACAGTCATTGCTGCATTAATTCTGCTAGGAAAGTAGTGTGACAGTGGTGCAAAAGAGTGCAGAGTTACTAACCCTGACGAAGCTAGCTGGAAACCAGGCTTCCTTGTCCTCATTTCTCCCCCACCACCAGTCTTTGTTGGAAGCTTCCAGGACTCGAATGACATCTCCAGCTTTGAAGCCCAGTTCTTGATCATCCATAGTCACATGGTCCCAAAGAGCTTCTGCATAGACGATGCTGCCATCACTTATCAGCTGAGATGGGAAGGAAATGAGTTTGTGATGAGCAATGAATAAACAACACACTATTTACAAACTACTTAGTAGACCAAAATGCATCACTAAACCCTGAAGATTAATCTCATTACAGGACAAAACTAAGACTCTGGATTTTCAGAATTTTTTACGTATTTTATTAGTTTGAGAACCTGAGTCTGTCAGTCCTACACTGTGCCCATCAGCTGAGCTAAATCTCCAGATTAGTCCCAGTCAAGATGTGAAACTGCACTGTTCTGCATCTATCTCTTGGCATCTATCTGCTCTKAGGCCCTCTTAGAGACGGGATGCTGTGGCTGGTGAGTTCTTAGTTAYGATGGCCACAATCACCACACTTCTCATTAACATTAAACCCCACACCAGCTGAAAACCATCACCATAGAACTGCACAGATTCACCATACCAGACTGTCACCCAGGATGACAATTTTACCTCATTAATTGCTAGCTGTTCACCTCCAGGTTGCAGGTATCTCGGGGTGGCTTGGCAGAGCTCCTCATAGCTGTAATCTTCCTCGCTGCCATTGTCATCCACCAAAGCTGAAGATTCAGTCCCACCATCTGCAGCAGCTAGAAGACAGGTGGGACCGTTGTTTGAGTAATCATTTTTATACCAGTGCACACTCATAAAGACAGTAGAAGARGAATCACTTAGGAAAGAGGAATCACTTAGGAATTGCCTTTCTTCTTATGAACAAAGCAGCAAGAGTGTGAGAGAACAGAGCTCTTAGGAAAACCACCTAATATATTTCACACCTAATATATTTATTTTCTACGCTTCTTTGTAAAATCTTTGTTTAGTATATGACAAAATTGAGCAGCCTCCTCACTATGTGTGAAAAATACTACAAACATTCTTTACACCTCCACCTAAAATAATGTGCATCGGAACAGAGGTGTTAATGCAGTTTCCCACGTGCTGCTGTGACATTCTCAACATCTCGTCCTCAGGCCCAACTGCAACCAGGCCCTGGTTGTGGGTAACCATTGAGGRGGCTGCCCAAGCAGCAGCACTACCCTAGTGTAGGTTCTTCCAGGGCTCCTACAYGCGGGGAAGACTTTGAAATCTACCGATAGGATATGAGGAAATGGTCTCAAGTTGCACCAGGGGAGGTTCAGGTTAGATATTAGGAAAAATTTCCACATGGAAAGACTGGCCAAGCACAGGCTGCCTATGGAAGTGTTGGAGCCACCATCCCTGGCACTGTCCAAGAAACATGTAGATGAGGCACTTAGGGACATGGTTAAAGGGTGTGGTGGTGATGGGGTTACAGCTGGGCTTCRTGGCCTTGAATGTCTTTTCCAATCATAATGATGCTATGGTGCTCTGATTCTATGAAATCACCTGGAAATGGGGTGGAGAGAGGGATAAGGTAGGCCAGGCTGAACATGACAGAACTTCCTGGRAAAAAAAAATTGTTCTAATTACAATAAATAAAAAAAACAACGAAGACAAATATTGGTTTGACAAGTGTACATTTTCTGACTGCAAAAGTAGCTTTGTAAAGAAGCACAGGCCAGAACCGAGAGGAGTTTCATTTTATTTACACACAGCCCAAGAGGAGCAGTGCTCAAGTGGGCAGCCCTATGCAAACCCCGAGTTACTGTACGAAACGTGAGGGACTGCACCCCTGGGCGCAGCTCACTTGTTTATCTCCGCCCCGGCCCACAAAGAGTAGTACCAGGCCTAATAACGCTGCCCACACTGCTCAGTTAGACCCTGCGGGAGCAGCTGAGGGCCGGTGCAGGGCTCCCAGACAGAGYTGGGGAGCAGCTCCTGGCCAGGAGCCCTTGGTGGGCAGCGCTGCAGAGCCGCAGGCCGCTCTCTGCTCCTCCTCTACCCATCCTGGCACACGTCCCTGCACAGCCAGGCCAGGCTATCGACACCAAACAGCGTGAGGACACACGGTGCTCTGAAACACTTCCGATTATGTTGAATCCGATCGCAAATAAGATCTGCAACAGGCCCCTGGCACCAAACTCCCTTCTTAATGGTTCCCATGTCCCCGACCGAGTCCCCACGTGGCCTGTGGGAGGCAGAACAGCGTCCCGAGTGACGGGAAGGGATCTTTAAGCCGAATTCCTTAACCTCCCACTTCCACTTGSCACTAGGCAAAGCAGCAGGGCCTCTTCTCCAGACTGTTTTAAGCAGGTTGCAAAGAGATGACTCCTTGCTCTGATGCACACCGCTCGCCAGCGCAGGTGCCCACACACACTGAATAACCTACGAGTTATTCACCATATACGCRGAAGCATTTTTACTCCCTCCCCGTGGGTGCTTGTACCACAGCTCACATCTCTGCTCATTTTAGGTAGCAAGCTTTAGAAGAAATCAAAGCTCTCTGCAGCACAGATTAACTAAAACACCAAAAGAATTTTCGGTTCCTCAGAAGAATCTTGTGTTCTTCACAGAAGAGGACATGGCTTTACASATTCCTACTCTGTTCCTCAGACATTTTAAATATGCACTTACTTAAATGGCATAATCTATCTAAACAGAAAGGATCCTGAATCTCTCTTAAAAAAAATTAGTTTTTCCCCAAAATGCTCTTAAATCAGAACATCAATATACTTCAAAAATGCTCCTGAAAACTTACTGAAAATCCTTTATTTAAAACCTGTGAAGAAACAATTCCTTAAATCAATTTTTAGCTTAAGAACCGCTAAAAAATTTCACCGTGGGGATCTTTTTTACAACCCCACTGTAACACCAGCACTGTCTGTGGGTTGGTTGCAGGAACGACACACACCAAAATTCCCCAATTCATTTAGCTAACAATGACAAGTGTTCCTCATTTCGGCACCGATAGCTGCTCAGGACCCCTTCCCAAAGCCATCAGCTTGCAGTGCCTGCACAATCAGACCCGAGCGAAGCCCGTGCCGGGCACTCTGCCTCCTTCCCTCTGCTGTTTACATCCTGGAACGGGCGGATCGGGACTTTCCTGGGTGCGCTACTGGAATGCAAAAACTTAAAGGACGGCGTGGGAGCGACGCTGCTTCCCGAGCCCTTCTGCCCGCAGCGAAACTCTGCCGGCTCCGGAGGGTCCGCAACAGAAATGCCGTCACAAATCCTCGCCCTGCCCTTGGCTGCCACGGGATATCGTTTCAAGCTGGAAAGGCTGCAAAGGAAAGGAGAAGGAGCACAAGGTCCGCGCACACGTACCCGTGTGAAGGCTCTCGAGGCTCCAGAAGCGCGGCATCGCCCCGGGGGCCACCATGCCGCCGGCGCGCGCAGGGACGATCCCGGCACGAAGCCCGGCGCTGAGCGCGGCGGGATGGGCGCCGGGCAGCCGCGGGCAGGGCGAGCGGAGCCGGAGCCGGAGCGGAGCGGGAACGGGAACGCGCGGGGCCGGGCGGGCGCGCGGCGCCGCGCTGACATCACGGGGCCCGTGGGGAGGACGGGCTGCCGGGGGAAGCGGCGGCGCGCGCAGAGCCGCGAGCGGCGGCACCCACGGGTGCAGCGCGGCCGCGAGCGCGTTCGCCGCTCCTCAGAGCACTTGGTGCCACCCCGATCTGTATTCAAGTCACCGCAGTTTGCAGGGGAGGAAACCGCGAGCTGCTTGTGTGCAACACCACCCTGAATAGCAGCCCAGCCTTGTTATACTGCAGCAGCAAAAATGCCAGGAGAAATTAAAGATTACTTGTTTTTTTGTTGTTTTTTTTTAAGCTTGTTTTTTGCATAGTTGTTAAAGCCTCTCTTGCTTCACAGTTAAATGGAATCTCCTTAAGAAGGGTACAAGCAGCCGAAATGTTAAGGCTGCAACAGATCCCCTGGGGGGAGGAAGAGGGGATGGAGATAGTTTCTCATTCAAGTTATTAACTTAATCCAGATCCAGAAAACAGGGAAGTATCCAAATAGTTCAGCCTTCACTCAAACGACCCAGTCGGGCTCAGTCGGCCACCCGAGCTCAGCACGGAGCACCTTTGCATCCTTCACAGTTTTGCTGGGAAACGGCATCTGTCCACATCCTGGAAGCAGCTGAAGGAGCTGCTCCTGGAGGCAGCCCCTATCTGCTTCCAAGCACAGCGCTGCACCTTGCACCTTGGACCTTGGACCAGGAGAGCCTTTACGGGCCGCTCTTTACCTGCAAACTGCGCTGCTCAACTCGGCCTGCCCTTTCAGTGGGAGCTGCCTCTGCCAGCGAGGCCATCCCGGAGCCCTTGAGGCATTTTCCAGCAGCAGCCTCTGGCCACCCACTGCTATCACACGGCTTCCCGGAGCGCTGCCGCGGGAGGCAGTGAAATGCCAGCTACCACGCTGCAATATTAATGCCTTCCTGCTGCTCCCATCCAGTCCCTGCTGCGCTTGAGAGGAGCCCTGCCCTAAAGCCCCAGACTTCCCTGTTATTTCTTGCTGCAAGGAGACTCTTCGGGCAGCATGGGAAAAATAAGCAACTGCATATTATGAGAAGCTGATATTATGTTATGAGGAATTTATATACAGACAAGAATCTACTCTCCACGGCACAAAGCAGTAAAAGCAACCCCAGCAAACAGAAACCTACTGAGGAAAACATTCTCCTCGTGGGGGGATAAAGCTGCTCATGATCCTGGGGCTCATCCTTTCAACCTGCTCCCTGCCATGGGAAATTCCTACTTGCAAGGGAAAAAACAGCTGTATTGCAAAAGGCCAGCTAGATCAAACCCCATATTGTTCTTACAGAAGAGACATTAAAAAGTAATTTCTGGAAAGCAGTGGTTTCGTGTGCTCTTTGCAGCCTGGCAGGCAACGTGTGCCTTTGCACGATGACTACGGCAGGGCAGCCGTGGGCTAAGGGGAGAGCTGCTCTCCCTCCCCTGCACAGCCACATCCAGCAACTGCGCAGCCCGAGGCTGAAGCGCTGCACCAAGTGCTTATTTGGGGCAAGCTGGTGGCCAGTTCCTTCCCTTGCTGGCCTTTGTAGTGGGAGTCCAGGGCGTCCCAGCGCCTGCTGAGCTGGCTTATCCCGCCCCGAGGGCGCTCGGGAAGGCGGCACACACTAGAATAGCAATGCCAAGGGCTCGTTTACCACTTCAACACCAGCCCGTTCTCCAAGTGACTGGGACCAAACATGGGGAAAGCCTGAATACTTTGTTTTCTCCCAAACACTCCAAACTACAGTAACTATAGTCTGAATGTACAAAAAATCCTATTGAATGTACAATAAATCCTATTTTATCCCTTTCCTCAATATTCTAATGGGACTTCACAGGAGAAAGTAACACAACACAGGTCCCTCCACCCTTGGGCAGCTCAGGTCCCTCCAAACCAGCACTCTCTGACAGCGGCCAGTGGCAGATGCCAAGGAAGGAACATAAAAATAGGTGAGGCTTGTAATGCTGTTTTTCTCATATACTTTCCCAAATTCCATCCCCTCATGGACCCGATTCACATTTTCCCGGGAGCAGAGGTGATATTTTTATGTTTAATGAGCTGATTTTTTCAAATCACTGAGTTTCTGTAAAACGTTAGCATCTGAAATACCTGGTGTAGCAACTAGCATCTTAATTTAGTTTTACAGCACATGAAACTCATCTTTTGCTTGAAACCTGCTATCTGACCATTTCAGTTAGTTCTTACATTATCGGAAACATCAAATAACTACTAGCTGCTCATTTTTTCCCCTATGTCGTCAGCTTACAGGTGTTTCTCCCCCACTGCCTTTTGTTGTTAGCTGAACAGCCCTAGCCTGGTTAGTCATTTCTCACACAGAAGTGTTGAGCTGTTTCCCTTACTCTTTTTGCCTTTCTCTGTATCTTTTTCTGSGCTACTAAAGCCTATGTATACAGAAAGGACTGGGGAAATGCTCCCCGCTCAGCACACCATGGAATGGCAATGGGACCATCYGGCTGTTTTGTTCTCCATCCCCTTCCTTGAAATTCCTGCCACTGAATTTCTGAGCATTAAAGTGACATTTGAATGACTCAGTAGAATTTTCAAGATCTCTTTCTTCCCTCAATGGCAAAATCTTGCCCCAAATCCTCTGTAAGCCTACTTTTTTTCCCCACATACACCACTTTCCATTTATCAACACATATTTTCACCTGTCACCATACTGCACCATTTCTTGGCACTGTAAAATTCTGCGACCCTCAGCTTGTGATTTTACTTCCCTCAATAATTTATCACATAAGCAAAAATTATAATTTCTCTATATAATTCTATTCTCTCTCCTCAACATCATTTGTGAAAACACCAAGCACCTGAAGAGCAACAGTCTCTCACAGGACTCCAGAAAACTGGCACTTTCCTCCTCCTTGTTTCTTAGTGCTTAACCATTTATTAGTGCATGAGAACATCTCCGCTCTTATTCCCAGCCCCTATTAAAATGCATTTGTAAGAAATCTTGTCAAAGGCCTTTTGAAAATCCAATACACTACAGAATCATCCCGTTCACATCTTCAGTGACTTTTCCAGGAAACCTAATAGATCTGTGGGGCACAACTTTCCTCTATAAAGAGAACTCCTCTTAATCACACATGGAAAGAGAGGTCAAGCATTGGAACAGGCTGCCCAGGGATGTGGTGGAGTCACCGTCCCTGGCAGTGTTCAAGAAATGTGCAGATGAGGCACGTAGGGACATGGTTTAACAGGCAGGGTGTTGAGGGACTTATGGTTGGACTCAATGATCTTGAGGGTCTTTGCTAACCATAATGATTCTAAGATTCTATAAGGACCCATCAGTCTGTCAATGTTATTCTCTGTGATGGTTTATAAGTCCTATATATATTCTTATACATTCTATGTACTTATAGATCAGACTCACTGGTCTACGGCTCACTGGTTCCTCCTGGTGCTTCAGAACTGGTCATCACACTGATGTCCTCATGTTTTCTTGCACTGATGCAATTTTAAACAATAAATTCTGTGCTAGAGACAGTCGCTAAGCAATTTCATTCTTAAATCCTTTTAGAAGTCTTGGTTCTAGCAATTTGTTTCTAGTCATTTAATTATTCTAAAGCTTCAGTTGATATTTCATTTTGAGACAGACTATCTAACATGACTATGCTCTTATTTTCCCTGCATGGCAGCCTACCTACTTCTAACATTTCTGAAAAAGGACATACATTTTTATACCTTTAGTAAATTCCACCTACCTTCCTGCATTTTTATTTTGCTGGAATTTATGATTTTTTCTATTTGGATGCAATTCAACCATCTGAGGAGGGCTTCTTATTTTCTTCTGATAGCTTCCTTTCCCCTGCTGTTTAATGACAGAATCCATTTTGGTGTTTTCCAAAGTCTTTTTTTTTTTTTTGACAGATGATAGGAATTTGCTGTAAGTGTCTAATATGTCTACAGGCATACAGCTCAATGACAACTCTTGGTAAAAACAATGGCACTTTAACTCTCCTTTTATGACCGTGCTTGCTGCCTTTGCAGTCTCCCTGGTTTCCTGAGCATGCCACATTTGCTAACACCAACCTGGTGATCCAAGGTGGTTTGTAATTTAATCCTAATACTGTACTTTCCCTGTGTAGGCATGCAATTCTAGTCTATGGATCCTGTGACATTTGCTGATACAGTCAGCTTATTTATCCCTCTGACTCATATCTTTTCTTTAAGATACTTTTCTTTAAGATACTTTTCTTTAAGATACTTTAAGATACTTTTCTTTAAGATAAGAGACACTCTTTCACTGCTACAACCTTTTTTGTTATTCAGCTTGCACAATGGTAATTTTACCGTTTAAATTTCCACTGTGATTGGCAGTTGCCTGTTTTTCTACATCTTCTTTAAAAAGGGTTTGTACAGTTGCTACAGACTATTTGTGGCATGAGTTTTGCTGCTTCTGCCCCTTTCTTCATTTGAGGATTGAGGATTTATCAACATTGTCTGTAAAGGAGGCATTGTCCCAAACTGTGTATTATTTCACCTTGCCAGCTTTTCCCTAGTTCTTTGCTTAGAAATGACACTATAATCTCAATGTTCATGGCAGCAACCTGCATTGTTTTGGTTTAGAAAACGCCCTTTATTAAATGAAGGATCTTTTTATATCCAACATTTCCCAGTTCATAAACAATCTAAATCTAAAGCAGCTCAGACGTGGCTGCCACTGAGCTCCTGGTATTTAAGGCTTTGCCCAGCTGTTCGGTTCTGCCTCCAGCGCTCGTCTCCGTGATGTCCCGGCTGCTCCCAGCACATTCCTTGGTCCTGTCCGCTCCACCAGCCTGGCCATGCTCCTGACCAGCGATCACATCACCCACCACAAGAGTTGTTCCTGCCCTATTAGCTGAGATTCCTGTCCCTGARGAGATCATACAACCACAGAATCACCGAATCATTATGATTGCAAAAGACCTTGAAGAGCATCAAGTCCAACCACATGAGTTCACAAAAAAATTCTGCCAAATTTAAGTTCGCACCATGATAAAAATGGGTTACTTTTTAAGGAGCGTATAAAAAATTGCGCTTCTGTGACAGGTAATCTCTCTCTCCGACACCAGGTATTGAGAACTCATAATCCTTCAAGCACAGCAGTAGCATCATTAGTCTCATGCGAAGTTTCACTCAGGCCTTGGCTGGCTGTTACTCTGTCTCCTGCAGTGTTATGATTTACTGTCTTCTAATAGCCATTTTTCTAGTAATTTAGATCTCCAATTCTATCTCCTGTTGTTACAAAAGTAGACAGATAACATCTGCACTAGGCTTTAGAAAGCAACTAAAATATTTCTAGTTTTCAATGCTAGAGTTTAGAGTTTCTTTCTATAATAAATAGCTTTTGTGTTATCAAATTTCACTGTAAACGAGCAAACAAAAAGCTCACACATGTTCAAAGACAAGAAAATGCCTCATGAATTTAAGGGAAAAAAAAAAAAAAAAAAGAAAGAGACCACAATGTGTGGGACTAGTACTAGTATTTTTCACTGGAGCTATTCAGAAGAACTGCCGTTGGACCATGAAGTCCATGCTATTCTCCACTTGCTCTCAGGGCTTTGACTCACGAAACTTTCTTGGCTTCTGTGTTTATTATAATGACTTCCAAAAGTCACATCTAGTATAATCAATATTGCTGTGATGGTATTGCCTTGAAAAAGTATCAGAAATCTTGCTTTCTTTATCTGGTACGCTTACATTTAGGAAAGCTGTCACTTTAAAGCTAAATACTAAGAAATAAATTAGTCTCAGGCAGTTCTCTAGGTTAACTAATGCCAGTTAATTTGCAATTGAGGGATGTTTTCAGAAGAATCTGGATATCTTTACCTCTAAAACTTGGTTTATAATCATATAAGCCAAATCTAATCATTTTATTGACTTGTAATTTTAGTAAATTTAACTGTTTAAAAAACACTGAAAATACTGTTTGTTAAGTTTCTCCCCTCAGTCATGGCAACTGAAGCCTTCCTTACTGATTGTGTGCACAGAGAAGCAGACTGAAGATTCCCATTAGTCGTCTGTTCACTGTTAACAGCGAGGATCTCAAGGGAAAATTTAGCTTTTACTTTGGGCCCTTCTCAGTGAAGCATTAGTAAGTCTTCAGACGATGCCTGCTGTAGTCCAGAAGAAGACAAATGCAATTAACACAGCTTTTTCTGCTATCTTCTGCCAAGAAATGCTCCATCGATACCAAATATGCCTTTCTACTGACTCACGTAGCATGGCTTGCTAACAGCAAACAGAATAAAAGAAAAAATACATAGGCCATATAGAGGGTCAGATGAGAAGTAGTGCTTCCAAAGAGGCAATTTTTCCCAAGAATGTATCTTTCATGCACCAAAAACCTGGTTTGGTTGGGCCACATCCCCCCTCAGTAAGCACTTGCAACTGCATACAATTCTCTGGAGCACACTCTTTGATTATTTAATACTTTCCTATTGAAGAAATTAAGCTGAATGAATGAAAAAAAGAAAAAAACAGCTTGTGTGGTGTGAGCATACCTCCATTTAGTGGTAAAATGAACATGGTTCAGGTACAAACTAAAGTGTTTTAGGCCTTATTTCCTTCATATTCTATAATTATCTGCAGGCAAGCATATAAATATAGGAGGTGGAAAATACAGGCCTGCAAACTACATAGAATAAACCATACGAATTAATTGATCAGTGGGTGTGATAAATGGGTTTTACACGGACCACGGCAAGCAAACCTACCAATAAGGATGTTATAGAGAAAAGGCAACGAAATGAGGTACTACATCTGCTCAGTGCGTATAAATACCTCAAGGGAGGCAGTAAGGAGGAGKGGGCAGCCTCTTTTCAGTGGTGGCCAGCGAGAGGACTAGAGGAAACGGCCACAAGCTGAGGCACCAAAAGTTCCACAGGAACTTGAGAAAACACTTTCTGACAGTGAGGGTGAGAGAGCCCTGGAACAGGCTGCCCAGGGAGGTTGTGGAGTCTCCTTCTTTGGAGATCTTTAAAACCCGCTTGGACGCAGCCCTGTGCCATGTGCTCTAGGTGATCCTGCGTGTCCGGGGGTTGGACTAGATGACCTCTGAGGTCCCTTCCAACCTTAAGCATTCTCTGATTCTATGATTCTTCATGACCATGTAATGGATTTCCTCACCAAGCTGGCTTACAAAGTTGWGCTCTAGGAAGGTATACCGAGCCTTGCACATCTTACCATGGGCCGCTCTCATCTGGCGCCGTCGCCCGACGCGGTCGAGGCCGATGGGGGTGCTCTGCGAGAAGGTGAGCGGGCGGAACCGGGCCGAAACCGCCTTGTAGGGGGGCACCTGGTGCGCCGGCACCGGCGGCCGCGCGGCCGGCTGCGGAGAAAGCACCAAGAGCCGCTATTAACAACAGGCCTACGGACAAGTCCAGCTCAGCAAGACCCCRTTGGGAAGCGAGGCTTCTTCAGCTAATTACCAGAGCAGTAAACATCCTTATTTGAAGCACTGTAGCACTTGTGTTCAAGCACCGTGCACCAAATCCATCATCCCTGCAGTGCAATAACATTACATCTCCGTCTTAATAAATCTCCCCTGTCTTCTGCTATGACTGGACAYACTCTAATACTTTTAAGCTTGTAATAATCCTTGCCTAACTGCACTGGGATCCAGAAGAGTCTGCACAGGGCACACTGAGGTTGTAAATTTGCAACTAGCGGCAAACTCCAAAGTAAAATGTAGGCCAAAACTGCATACAAATGCAGTTTTGTATAGCAGGAAGGTGTGTTAATTGCCTGGGATGCTTTATTTCTTCAAATAAATGCTTTGCTTTTAAGCAAAATTAGTATATTTTGCAAGAAGGCCAAAACTAGTTTAAATGGTCCTCTGTTCAGAAGATCCCAGGAGTCTCATTAAAAAAGAGATGATATTAAATTTACTCAAACTTTATCTGGAAGCCATTTTCTCTAGTTTTCTAAAACTAACAGAATAGTTATAGTAAAAATAGCAGTTATAGTAAAAATAACAGAATTTTCTATTCTGTTAGCTTTAGTCTTTCATTTGTTTAATTTTGATTAGAGAGCTTACCACTTCTATTTGCAAGCTGAGTCTACTTTTATGCTGYCTCTGAAGCCAGATTTAATGACCTTGCAAAATATTGCACATTAAGCACAAAACCTCTTCATATAACTTCAGAGAAAATCTTCAGATATTCCCTTAGTCTTTCATTTGTTACTGTTCATAGGCCCTTAGAGGAAATAACCTGAAACATTTTTCTTTTTTTTATGACCATATGTTGATGCTCTGTTATGAAACCAGTGATTTATTGTTGTTTGAAAACTTGTTCACAACTAAGATGTCAGATCACAACAAAACATAATAAAGAAGGAATTAACATCACACTTTTAAAATACTCCCCTGGGTTTTCAAAGTTGGTTGACTGCACTAGCAGTGTCAGAAAAACCTCCCCTTGAAACCCATATTACTTCTGATTGCGATGGCCTATTATTTAATAAAACTTTCATTGGCTTGAGTTGAGAGTTTTGCTGGTATAGACTTTAGGATCTTTTTTTTTTAATCAAAGCAATATAAAGAAAAATGTGTAATATAACAAGAAAAAATGTTCACATTAAGAAATAAGAACTTTCCAAAGGAGATTATAAAGCCTCTCATTGTGTCAGCGTTTGATTTCAGCCAAGGGAGTACAGCACCATGATTGATCTCAGCAGGAGGCCAAGCAGCATGAGGAAGATTAAGAGGATTCAAATTCCATTAGGAACCACTGGAATCAGACAGCTTCACAATCTTTTAGGATGTAAATACTGTTTCTTTCTTGCTTGCTTAATCAACTTAACAATTAGTAGCTGCTTAGGTAGGAGGCCCCCAGCCTTGTCAGTAAAGCAAGCTAGTGTTGAACAAGGCAGCTTTACCAAGCCCTTGGGACCAAAGCTCTGCAACCGACTACAAGCCGTGTCCACCACTGGTCACAGCAGAGAAGGAGGTTTCTCTACACACTGTTTACCAGCTCAGGGCTGCCTCCAGGCTCCATAAATAAATAAATAAACAAATAAATTGAGGTATTTTTTCTTGATCTGAAGTTTTTAGGTTTTGGTCTCTTAGCAAAGTCAACAGAGATGGCAAGTAAGTATACAGGCACCCATCAATTACAAACTGAATCCCCTACTTATTTTCTTATAGGTTACTTGTGTTCCATAAGGTCAGTTTCACAGTATAAGAACTAGCACATTTGAACAAGCAACAGCAGTCCTGGAAGGAATCCATTTATTTTTTATATTACCAGTTTTCTTAGATTCTTTATTTCATTAATTTCTTAATTCTATATTACTAATTTTCTCAAGGAAATTCTGCATTAGTTTTAAGTGTGCTTGATATGCTGATACCAAAATTTTGAATACCACAGCTAACGCCACATTTTGACTGGGGCTATTTCCGGAGCATTTAAAATGATCAGATTTCATATTTATCACATTGTTTGTAGCCATGTGTTTCTCAGCACCTACACACTGTAACATGACTAAAACAGAGCTGCACCATAAACAGACAAGTTCTTACAWATTGAAACTAGATAGAAATAATGAGCATTCCAAGAAAGATATAATCCAAAGAAGATTATCCCAAAGTCAGTATCAGTTTTATTCCATGCTGTTTGGTTTTTCAACAAGACAAAGTAATTAGTGACAAGGAAAGCAGAAGTGTAAGTACATGACGGCAGCTGGACAGCAGGGAAGAAAGAAAAGGAATCATCCATTCTATTTTCTATGTCGAAGACAGAGACAAGGAAGTGAAAGGGTCTCGGGCAGTTTGCAGAGAGCACATCTCGTATCTTACTTGTGTCAGCAGACCTTCTATCTCTTCTGCAGGACCGCTTCCATAGAAATTCACCCCACCTATCACCGAGATGGGTCTTCTTTTTCGCCCTCTGTGGTAGCCGAGCGTGCTGCTTTGCACCAYACACCCCACAGAAGCCAGTCCTGGCTGATTTTCTCCATCCGTGCAGTCAGACTTCTGAGACTCCACAGCCACCGCATCTTCTGGTATAGAGAAGCTTCTGATGGACATTTGGCCATAGTCTGAGAGAGGYCTGGGCCGAGATCTTTTTCCAGAGCCCCATCTCCTGGGGGTGACCTTTTGTGGGTCCCGCTTTTCTTCCTCCTGGCTTGGGGACCTCTTCCAGTGGTCATCAGAAACAACCTTTTTAAATGTGAACAAGTCAAATAAGCCACAGTTTTTTTTTCTGACACTTAAGCATTTGTGAGTTTTTGATACAGCAGATCAAWTTAACATTGCTAGAAAGAAAGGGTTTCAAAAAATACAACAAATAGCAATTCAGGAAGCAAGTAAGTCTGCAAAAGAGACATGCAGTTCGTGCTAAGGTTGACACCTGCCCATTAGCACGTCCTAGACAAACAGCACCACTAACAACAGGACTATCATGAAGCTATGCAGTAGCAACTAGCCCTATCATAAACACTGACTCCATTGCATAATGTCCCATGGTAGTTGCATAAGGTCCCATGGAGTCCTATATGACATTGCATAATGTCSTATGGAGTCCCACCAGACTCTTCTGGTACTCATAGCCTTTGTTCATGTATGTGAGGAACAGTGTAATCTTTAAAAGATCCAGTCAACAGGGGCTGCTCTGCTTTAGCTCTGCTTGGCGAGGAGAATCAGCAGCCCTGCAGAGACGTTCAGCTGCAGCCTGAGCTGCTTGTTTGCTGATCCTGAACAACCCCAAGCTGGTGCCAAGGGGGCAGTCCCATTTCGGCGCTGCCGGGATGGCTCGAGGCCACGGGTRGCCCTGGGGGGCCGGCTGAGCGAGCTGAGCTGCTTTGGAAGGGGAAGTTTCTGGCACATCGGGAAGGACCCGGCCGTACAGAGCAGAACCAGTGACAAAAGAAGCACGGGGAAAAAGCTACTGTTTTTAGACAGKGTTCCTTGAAAATTAGGAAGTCACTTCTAGGAGGTTAAAACCCACAGGTGTCCTAGCTGCGCTACTAGTGCAAGCCTGGGAATAAAGTAACCACAGTTGAAATACCTGTCAGTGAGAATATTTTGAAGGATTTCAATGCACTGCAATAATCTCATTTTAACCTTTTCTAGCAACATCCTTGCATTTTTTTATTGAGAAAATTATTCTACAGAAAAGTTTACATTCAATTTTCCCTCAAATTTCCAAAATCTCAGTGTTTCTTTGCCTTTTTTTTTTTCTCTGGCTCCTCTATTAAGGGCAGGAGGGAAAYAGAAAGAGGAAGCTGAGTGTTTCTGGGCTCGGTGGCAGCTTGCAGGAAGGCCTGATGGAAAGAGTGACAAACTCCACGGCCCTGTTGAGCAAGTGAGCCCTGCTGTAATAATGTCTCGGACAAATTGATATTCTCAAACAACTCTCATTGCATTCTTGAAGGTCCACTGCATTTGGAAATGAACTGGTTCTGTAGTAAAAAACAAAACAAGCTTGTTCTTTATCACGGTATTTTTAGACTGCACAAATGCATTTATGATAATGTCATCAAAGTTAGGATATATTCCAGAAATAGAGGCATAATTTTGATTGCCACTTGGCTACACTTTGTTCATCTCTTTTAGACCAGATGAAGGTATTTAAAGCGCTGCACATTCAGCAGTGCCATAGCCTGGAATCAGCCTTTTGCGAGGAAGCCTGTAAAAAGATGCCTTCTCTTCTGTCACCTTCTCCTGTGCATACCACTTTCAACCAGGCTGGTCAAATCTGATGAGCTTTTTTTCAGAAAGACACCTCATAGTGGGCTGCTTTTGCTAGGGTGGATTTTTGCCTGACAGCATAGGACAAAATGCACTACCGCATGCACTACATTAACGGGCAGAGTTATTAAATATTCAGCATTTTAACATAAATACTACAATTAAGGTATGAAAAAATAGGAAAAAAAATCAGTTGTGCACTGTTCTACATTAAATTATTTTAATTACAACGTGAAATTCATTCTTAATAGAACAACTGCATAAATCCCAAACTCTACTGCATACACCTGTCACTCAGTAACGCTTCAGCTCTTGTGCAGATTTTAGCTCATGGCTGCTTTTAATAGTTAAAGCAATTCATTAGAGTACCTGCCTAGCTGGCTGGCTGGCTGGCTGGCTGGCTGGCTGGCTGGCTGGCTGGCTGGCTGGCACCCTAACACAGCTCCACCAGAACCAGCCTCTAAAAACACTTCCTCAAGAATCAGGGCAGCAAATCGCACATTAAATAAGGTTCTTACCTCAGAATCAGACACAGGTGACGGATCTCCGCACACACAGTGGCTAAGAATGGAGTTCATTAGAGTCATTCTATATTTTTGTTTTGCAAAGTCTTTTCTTCAGGAACTACAAATGTGAGCACACGCTCTGTATAACCAGTCAGGCAAAGTTCATCCCATGATCTTGTACTTTTAGACTGAGGAAGGGACACGTCACATGTCATCGCCTAATCTGCCTTTTACACCCTTATCTTGAGCAATAACATTTGCAAAGCGAGGACTGTTCTCCGTCTGCAGCACTCCACCTACAGCAGCTGATCCAAATGACAATGAAATCAATCTCTGTTTTGCAATAAACAGGTCTGAAGGACTCTATTTTTAAGCTTAGATATTCAGTTTGCATTGAAGAATACTAATAAAACAGAATATAATCCTTTCAAAGCAAAATACTGAATGAAAACATACTGATAACCTCACATTCCTCCAAGTGACCACCTACCTCCTCTCAAGCAGGAGGACCTGCTCAAGTGACCACTTACTAGCAGAAATAAATACAGCATTGAACTCATAGGCTCCAACACTGCAAACACTTAAACCTGTGATTCTTGAAATCATTGAAAAAAAATAATAATTTTGGGGATCTTTGCCTATATCATTATATTTTTCCTCATCATACTGCTGCAGCTCCACTGACCTCAAGTAACCTCCTCTCGATTAATCCATTATAAATGAAATGAAGTTTTCTACGGACATGTGTTGAGATGTACAAGACCCTCCATGTGAGATGAAATCCAAAATGTGCCTTGTCCCACGCACTGAAAGTGTTAATCAAAATTTTCAAAGAATTTCTTTAGTCTTGACAAGTAAAGGTCTAACATGGGTCCACACTGGATTTTCTGAAATTCACCCTTGCTAGTCTAACAACAATACAGCATCACCTATGCTGAAACCTGAAATTATTCATCTTGTCCTTTCAGTTGCACCTATTTAAGATTCTTATGAGACTGCAAACACAGACAGCTCTACTTGCAGGCTCTATATGCAGATGAATAAAGATTCTTTGGACATATAAATTCCTAAGATAATTTCCTGGTTAAACTGTTGTATTTCCACAGCTTTCTTTTCATGGCAGTGCTATACTGACAAATACAATCTTTTTAAATGAAGATTTACCTAGATCCACACTATACTTTCATTTGCTATTATTCCTATGTAAGAGCTCACTGTTAACATTCAGRATGGGACTCAGCTCCTGATTCGAGCACCTACATTTTGATGTCTATAATGCAGGTGTCTATATATTAGCTACTGACACTAAAGCTCTTTGCAGTCAGTAGAAAATCAGACTGAGATTCGGTGCCTTTTCAAAAGATCTAGGGGATCTAAAGGATCTGCACATATCATATGCTACGCAAATATGACGCAGGACCTACAGGAGGCTCGAGCCCTTCTGCAGCAGCAGCTGCAGATGAGGGGGAGCAGCTCAGGGTATCTCACATAGCACCAGGTGCCTGTGTTCAGAAAACTGGATTGAACYTCCCATTTTGGGGGCCAGTAGAGCAATTCAGGAGTCAGTTGCCAAAATGTTCTCTAGGTTCTCAAGGGAATCCTGCTTGGTGCCTTCAGCCACTCCAGCAAGGTGGGTATTTCCCACCAGTCCCACACCATTCCTGTCAACTCTGTGTGACTGTTTTAGCTACCCTACATCTCCAGTGRTCTGAATTCAGTTTCAGGTGCCACTTCTAGGCATGCAGTTTAGGGTGTGCTCTTCAGGCCCCAGTGATGCTGCTGATTCAAGCTCCCTTCGGCTGCTTCCTTTRATGCCTTGGGTTGTCAAAACATCTACATGGCCTCCAGGAAACCCCAAGGTTCCTGGAGTAGCAGCTGGAGGAGAMTTGAAGTCTCCAAAGGCTCGTTATAATTGGTATTAAAAATTTGGCTCAGTGCTTGCTTCTTTATGGGTGAGGTAGGAGATCTCATTGGTAGCTCACCAGCAGCCAGTGATATCAAGTGGGACTCCAAATCAGCTGGACATCATCTCCCCTTGTCTGAACCCAGGCTGATTTCACAACCAAGTACAGCAGCTTCAAGGTCTTGATTAGGATCCCACTCAATTTGATCTGGCACTGGTACAACGCTGTTGCATTTAATGGAATATTACTGCTGTCCGCAGACCCTGTTACTCATTAATACCAATGTAAGCAAGATCAGCAGGTATTTAAGCATTGAAGTCTTAGTTCAGCTTTTATACACAGATGAGAGCCAAGTTCTGCAATTACTTATTAGATGACACTGTGTATCTTACAAATTTGCACCAAAAGTTGTCTTCTAAAGCAGCTTTGCCCAAGGAGAGATGGATACCTCTCTGGATCAGCATAAGATCTGTACCTATGCAATACTGATGAAGTGCTCCTCATATGGATGCAATTCATACCAGTGAAATGGCCAGAATTTGTCAGTACCTGAAACTGCATGGGGGAACTTCTCCTGACGCAGTTATGCCAAACAGGAATGATATTTCTTCACACACCTGACAAACTCCACTGCAGAAAAAGCCCCAACCGTGAATCTGAGCCTACACACAGACGGGTCAAACTGCTGCTTGTGAGGGCAACTAATGATAGCTGTGGGACCTTTTGCTAATGTAGTTATGACAATAATCTCCCTAATGAAAATAAAATCAAGCTCTATAAACATGCTCCTGCAGGTTTACAGTATTGAGACTCTATACCAAATAAAATCTGCATTTCTACCACTACCACTTCTAACATTACCTTTTTTTTTATATATAATTTTATTCTTCTCTCTTGTTYTAACTGTGCTAAGACAATTAACATTTCACAATTTAAAAGTCTTGCAGTAGGAAGGGACAGACAAATCTCTCTAGAAAGTCCTTTTTCTTGCCACAAGGGTAAATGCCACAGGGTCTTTTTTGTCTATGCCAGGGCTATTATCAATTCCTCAGGCTTATTC